CAACCAACTGAATACAGCTCACTTCCAAGCGTGTAGGATAGACTCCGGCTGTATGTATGTAAAGCCTGTTTGTAGAGGCAGTGTTTGGTTTGTCCGTTCTTACACATCAGACCTTTAAAAGACACACAACCAGAAACTGCTGGTTTTTTAAGAGGAAGGAGAGACTGAAATTCAAACCTCAGAAAGAAAATGACTAATAGTGTCACAGCTTGGTAAGTTGTAGAACACTAAAACTTTGATACCCGATTTGATGAAAAATGAGTTCTGACATCTTATTACAGATGTCCCTTCTAGTTTGTTTCAGCCTTTGATTTTGTTGTTCCTCCTGTTGATCTTTCTAATTTTCTACATCCTCCTTTCCCATCAGTCCCTTGATATCATCTCCCTCTCCTCCTCTCTCCTGGTCACTGTTACCCCGGCAACCGCCTCCACCTTCTCAGCCGTCTCTCAATCCCTCTGTGTACTCAGTGTCTGTAGATTTTTTTAAATCTCTTTTTATTCCTCCCTCTCTCCTCCACTGAGGTTGATCTCAGTCGGAGCTCCTCTTCCTCAATATATCTCACTCTGTCCCGCAGTGACACTTTATCTTAATCAGCCTTTGTTTAACAGTCGGCGAAGTAGGAGGAAGACGCAGTGATCCATCACCTTGCCTCAAATTTCAGGGACCAAAAACTGAGCCTGTTTGCAGTCATATAAGGCGTTGATGGTAAAGTAGTAAGATGAGGTAATTTGATACAAACCCATCACATCTCTAATCTCTTGTTCAACTAATTAATTTTAAAAGATTTTTGGTTTATATCAACTTGGGTCTTTTTTTGGGGTTTCTATCAGTAATAATAATATTGTACTACCCGTGTGAGATCTGGGAACACTGTGACATGACTAAAAAGAAGTCCTACAAGGCAGAGAACATCGGCGGTCCATCAGTCAGAGGTTGGAAACAAGCCACAAATTTTTCAGATTACATAATCCACTTTATTCAAAGGTCAAACTCAAACTGAACGTACCTGAAATGTCTCTAAAAGTCCCTCATTGCACAGGAAACTGTGCAAGTGCAGCTACATTAAGTAGAGTGGGTCAAAGTTAAGTGGTAACTGAGTGAGTGGTAAACTGTGATGGATGTTTACAACTGTTTGGGGAAAAATGTAGTGGTTGCTTTTGTTTTCTCGTTATTATAAATGAGTCTTCGACCAGTGGCGGACTGAGGCTGTTTGAGAAGGGCACTTTACCATGTTTTGCTCACTGGAAAGGCACCCTAGAGAAGGCACTTTATTTTGTTTTATCTACCATCGGGGCATCCAAGAGGGCACTTTTGCAGCGTTTTTTCAAACATGGAGGCACCATGGGGGCGATCGCCACTAGTGTTTCTGATCTTTCTGATTTACTGATCACTTAAGTTTCTTGACCCATCATATTTCTTTTTTAGAGATGTCACTGTGTTCCCAGACATCAGCTTTTAACTGAGAGAGTACAATGTTTTTATTACTAATAGAAATAACGGACTAAATCACCTTGATGGACCAAGTATTGTGATTATTAGTGGATTTCAAGACTCACATCAAATGGCAGAACCTCCACTGATGTGTTGAAAAGTTTGTCTCCTGGATGTTCAATGTTTCCGCTCCGAAAGAAATACCTGAAAGATAAAGACAGACAGACAAGAGTCGATTCAATATATATTGAAGAATTCGTAATGCTGGTTCCTTTGTATGGAGCTCTGCTCTGTGATGCCTGATTTAAGGTAACACACCCTGTAACCTGTAACCTCCTGTACTCATTGGTACCCTTGAGACCATGTAACTCTTCATATCCTCTAGTACTCTGCAACTCCCTGGTACTTACTGGTACCCCTTACACCCTGTAACCTCCTGTACCCCCTGTTTCTTCTGAGACCATGTAACTCCTTGTGTAATCTGGCACCCCTGAGATATTATAACCCTGTAAAACCCCCTACCACCCTGTAACATCCTCATAGTCCTAGTAACCCTTAAGCCAGAATCATCCAGTCCATAAGTACATAAGGGTGACGTAAATTTAGTCATTATAGGGTATACACGTAGGCTGCTGCCAACATCTGCATACATCCAATTTGTTGTGCCACAATGGTACAAGTGCATGTCTTCCTGTATATTCAGGTCTGTATAGCCTATAACCTATGGTACCCTTGAGGAAGATCTTATAACACATAGTGCCATTTGGTACCTCTGAGGCCTTATAACTCCTAGAAACCTTTAGTACACCAAACACCATATAATCTACCAGTAACCTCTGGTAATGCCCTGGCATCCTATGGTACCACTCACACCCTGTAACCTCCAGTCATTTCTGGTATCCCAGAGACCTTGTTCCTTTCCTTTTGGTGTCCCTGAAACAGTATGACCACAAAGTACCCTGGAGTACCTTGTTATACCTTGGTATCCTCTTTTGTACATTCTGGTAGGACTGAGACTGTATGTACCTTTTGTGCCCCTGATACCATTTGACCCTCAAATGCCCTCTAGTACCCTTTATTGCTCTGTTATCTTCTGGTCATACTCACACCCTGTAACCCTACTGGTTGTGGGTGCCCTGTTATTCCCTGATATCTTTTGGTACACACTGTAAACATATTATCCTGATACCCCTGAGATGTGTAAACCCCAGTATCCCCTAGTACACTGCAATGCTGTGGTATTTTCTGGTACCCCTCACACCTCTTGCACATGTAGGTAACCTTTAGTACCCTCTGATATCCCTGAGACTCTAATCTCGCATACCCCTTGCACCACTATAGTACCCTGTATGGCCCTGGTACCCCTCATACCCTTAGATGTAACCTTAGACCTGTAACTCTGACTATGTGACCTCCAAGTAGCCTCCAGTACCCATAATGCTCTGATATCTTCAGGTACCCATCATTTCTTATAGTAGCCTCTGATAAACCTTCAGAACCATTGACTCCTAATCCCTTTTGGCACCCAGAGACCCAAGAATTACTACCTCCCTTTTGCGCCCTGTAATGTCCTGGCATCTTTTGAAACCCCTCATACCATGCAACCCCTTAGTACCCCTGCAATACCCTCGTATCCTCCAACCTCTTGTGTTCTGAGGTACCCACAAGACCATGTAAGGTAGCATCTGCTACCCCTCACACCTTTAGACATTATACCCTGTAACTCCCTGGTACCAACCTCTCGATGCGGACAGGTGTGAAGAATCGTATCCGTATGAAGTCCCCAGCCACTGGGGTGAAGGCCCAGAAGAAGTCCTCCCCCAGGTAGGCTTTCTCCAGGGTGAAGTGCTGGTAGGTCTTCAGGCTGGTCGTCACCTCTGCCAGCGGGTTGGCGTGACCCTTATGGAGGGTCTGTTTCCCAAAGTCCTTATCCTGGAACAAACCATTGAGTTTTTTGAGTTAAAATGTTTATTTATGCAGTTGTACCATATTTATAATTAAGAGAAGTGAATTCAGATATCAGGCAGTTATGTTCGACTGTGTGTTTGTGTTTCATCTCTGTATCTCTGGAGAGTCCACAGAAATAAGATGACACCACTGTGCACTGACCAGAAAATAATGTGAACTGTTAGTCATTGTAGATTGCCAACAGGCTTTTACACAGACTGGTATCATTGCCAGCTTTACTAGCTGTCCTTGATGACTAATCCAGTTTCAGTTCAGTGCAGAAACACTTTAAACATACTAACAAGCAACAGAGGCATGTCATCACTGTTAGTGCTATTTTACGCAGCTGCTCGCCTTTCATGAATGCAATAAGAAAACTTCTTATCAACCCTCTTCTAGCCTCTCTTCACTGGTCACCAGTCAGGTTTAGAATTGATTCTAAGATTTTATTGATTAGCTTTAAAGCACTTGATGGTTTAGCTCCCAGATACATTTCTGCTCCCCTTAGAGCCAAAGCCTAAGACCCTCAGGCAGGGCTCTGCTGGCTGGTCTTGAGTCCCAGCTTAAGACTAAAGTTGACTTGGCTCCAGCTCTGGAAACTCCCTGCCCGAGGATCTGAGGCTTGTTGAATCAGTGACATTTTTTCAAAAAGCCATTTATTAATTCTAACAAACTGCTTATTGCAAACAAGTCTGTTCTGTTTGTGCTATGTAAGTAAAGTTTATTATTTTTATATTATTGCTTTCATCCACTCCGCAACCCAGAGGACCAACTCCCAACCTCCAAACCTGAAATATACCAAGTTTGATCACCTGAATGTCGGCCTTACTGCAATAGTTTTAATCCTTGAATTAAACATTTAATTTAACTTTCTAGTTCTCGTTGTTTAGTTTGGTTATGGGAATCATTTTGATTAAATTTGTAAAAGCTGGTTCTGGTTTCTGTCTCCAGTCTATTTGTAGTCTGAGTACTATTTACCAATCATGTTTGAGTGGACTTTGGTTGCAAACAGTCCATCCATCTGATGGCAATTTTTATTTATTACATTTTTAACAATTTATCTGCATTTATATCCAGATATCTGTTTATAGAGATTGGCTGAAATGTTGTCTGGACCTAAAACACCAAGTTGTCACCAAACAAGTTGCTAATTGGACTGTAAGCAATGACAGATAGAAGAGGAAGTCTTGGCCCAGATATGCAGATATATATTGGCTACTCTGGGACATTGTCCTCTGCAGAGGCTAAACTGTCATTAAAATGTCAGTTGTTTGTTACATTTACATGTCACATGTTACAACATACATATACGTAATTCTTAGTTTATAATTAACACAAATGACCCGTGTTTACCTTTTTTTTGGAAGTAGCAAAGATGTTAGTAAGAGCAGTAAGATGTGATGTTTTAATATTGCTATTTGCTATTTATGTTGGTTTTTATGTTTTGTTTATCATTACACATAATTTTGTTGTTGTCACCTTATTGCCATCACAGACAAAAAATTATTTTGGTCAGAATTTATAAAGTTACATGAAAAAGATTCTGACCTCTTGTAACAATCTATTAATAAGTATATAAGTATAATAGTAGTATAAATATTTGAGAGATTTCTGTCCAAAGAGAAACAATATGCAGGTATATGAGCTATCAGAAATAAGGGATGTTGAAGACTCTGTCCTCAATAAAGAAAAATCTTCATTGAATCCACTAAAGAGCCACAAGATAAATCTGAGGGGAAGATTAACAAGATGGAGAGAAAATAAGAGAAATGTTTGCTACAGAAAATCCTTTCATATATTTTTTTAAATGAACAGTTTGACATTTAGAAAATACACACATTTGCTTTCTCGCTTCATTCATCTCTATAAATCTTTTCTTTTTGTAAAATACAGTCTGACTTCTCCAGGACAATCTGAGAGAGAAACTGTTTGTCTGAATTGCTGACAGCTCATAGAAAGATGTAAAAGGCGGGCCAGGGGTCATCAGCAGAAATTGATTTTTATAAAAGGGTCACAAGCCAAAAATGTTGGAAACCAGTTTCTTAAGATGACACATGATTTCTTTTTTAAATTCCCTGTCGATTTCTTCTTACATTTGAACAAATGTCTTGACTTAACTCCCTCTTATTACAAGACTCTCAGTCAAATAAATCCCACTTGCACTGATTCTTTTAATTTAACTTTGATTTTTAAAACTGAGGGCTGATTTTCTTACTAAACCACTGTGAATGTTTCAGGCTGGAGGGTAATAGCTATGTTTAGCCCTCATCCACAGCCTTGCATGCGGGCCGGCCCCTGCGGTTCAATCCCCACATCGAGGAGGCGCTGGCCCGGGACGGCCAGATCAATATCCAATTGATCGGACGAGATTGCAGCACCAGTCAGCGGGGCTAATATCCATCGCTCTCAACACAGTAATCAGAGGCGAGCCGAGGCGTTCGGCTGCGAGCTGCTGGCAGGAACCGAAGCTGCCACCTCTGTGAGATACTGCGGCTCGGGTCCGACAACTGCAGAGGTTTGCAATCTTCATCCCTCCAGACTGAACTGCCACTGTTTCAAACTCACTGAACTTTTAAACTGACAGCTGACCAGCACCACCAGTCTGCTGCTCACTGCAGAAAAACATTGGACGATTCTGCAGCCCGGATCAGCATCCAGTACCAACGTTCAGTGCTAGCAGCTGCGGTTGCCAGAACTTTACTGTAATTAATATGGTACTATTAGGTTAAAATGAAAGTAGTACTGTTGATTTTAAGAGAGAGACAGCGGTTTCCTGTGCAATTTAGAGAGATTTTGAATGAGATATGAAAGTTATTTACTGTTACAGAAAGTGAATTTCACCTAATTAGTTTACTTTAGTCATGGTTTGACTGTTTTTTTGTTTTTTTTACATTTTTTCAGTGCTTTTACAAAATTGTAAACTGCACAGAAAACCACCATTATAACATTCATATGGTATTTTCATATGGCAATAGATAAAGAAGGAATGATTATGCCCCTTTAACTATAACTTCAATATTTTACTAACATTAACAGTGTTTTATTTGCATGATCTTAACGGTATCCACTGTTTCCTGGGGATGCTACTGTAGAAATGAAAGTGGGTAGTCCCAGTGCCAAACCATGGTAGCTAACAGCTAACAGGAGTTCTTTCTAAAGTAATTTGCAGTCAATTCAACATATATATATATATACATACATTTTTGTTTTTTCAAAAGATATTTAACTGAACATAACGTCGACGACCAACAGACCTAACCCTACAGAGAACGCTGCGTGTTTGCTCATTTAATTTTGTCAACGGAGAAAAACTCAAATCCTTCTTTGTGGTTGGGCTATGATAGACGCGACATTGTTAAATAGAGGAACAATATAACTGTGGATGTGATCCTAAAGGATTAAAATGTCCTCTTTCCTTTCACCTGGACTTTAAAATATAATTAGGGTGGGAAGGTTTTACCCTCGAGTTTTCTGGGTTTGTTATAGTTCACTTTATGTATCTGATGTGATCCAGTAAAAATACAAAAATAAATAAATATAATACTTTTATCTACAAGGTCTCATGTTAAATGGGAAAGTGCCTTTAAATTAAACATGAAAACTGACTACAGGATATAATTATAAGCTGTTATTTGAACACACACTCATTCTTTACCTTGAGTTTCTGTATTTTTCCAGCCAGAGAGGAGTGGGTGCCCACATGCTGGAAGAGAGACGGTTTGAAGCGAATCCTCAGGTTGGCTTTCTGCCTGTCGCAGTGTTTCTGACGGAGACACAAACAGCTTTGTTACAAACATTTCAGGCTGCGCAGTCGGACTGCGCAGGAATCTATAAATTAACATGTCTAATGTAAAATAACAGGAACAATATGTAACTAATCTACAATTTTTAATATACAGTTTATTTAATATATTAAACTGTTGAATTCAAGCTTAATACTGTTAATTCATTTCTAAAATTATGTAAAATTAGTGACGATTAACAGTAATAAAAGTATTTATTGTGTAATTTTACATGGATTTGTTTGTTAACTGACAGATATCTTGTATTATTATTTTTATCAGTATAAAACTGCAAAGCTGCTGATCTGCAGTCAGATCTTACAAATGTAAAAGGAGTCTGTCAGTAAACATAAAGACTCAGTGTGAGATACTCACCGCATCCTTCTCCGGGTTGCACACTTTGACCCACATGATGTGGTCCAGCAGCCAGTCGATGGGTTTGTCTTTGTAGAACATCAGCATGAACTCTACGATAAGTGACAGGTCCAAAGACTTGAACATCTTACCTGTTGGACAACAAGAGCATTCACTTTAATCTAATTGGACTTTACTGCCTTCCTGTTCTGTGTGGGTGGGTCAAACCATCAATTTACACTGCACACAAAAAACATTTATCAGATTCTTTCTTTCATTTTCTGTTTCAGAATAACTGGGAATATCTGTTGAAATTAAAGATTTATGATGTATTATTTGTCATCAACAATAAGTTATTTATAATATCCTCATCAGTGAAAACTCAAATAAATAATATAATATACAATAATAATAATAATATATAAAATAATAATACTCTCACATATTTTACAAAACCAATAGACATTTTTTAATAACTAAAAGCAGAAATTAAAGCTTACATACATATATTATATAAGTGACCTAATCAGAATATTTTGAAGGATTCAGAGTTAAAACAAGTATTAATCTACTAATTGATGTAGACTGATAATGTAATGAAAAGGTTCTCTCATTTAAATTTAGTCTTTTATTCTGGGGACAGCAGCAGATTGTTCTTCGCTCTCTGTTATTAATTATTGACGACAATCTGGCAACACTTCAAAATACACAATAAGTTCAGTGCAGCAGTTTTCAATATTAATCTTTTTAGCTCGTTCACGTTAATTCTGACTGTAACGGCTGAACACGAGATTCAGGGCGACTGCTCCTGATTGGAGACCGTCAGGAATGTTTCGGGACATCTGGTCATCGTACACTGTAAAACCCAACAACTACATATCTTAATGAAAGAAGTAAGTTAACTAAACTTAATCCTCCATAAAATGTGGAGTCACTCAGTCATATTAATTAAACTTAACTAAAACACAAACTGTTTAAGTAACTTCATTTACTCATTTTCTTTAAGTTGACTTAATATCATACAATTAATTAATACAATATTAATTAATGAAGTAATTATTAATAATTCATTCAATTCAGGTTATTAATCATCGAATGCCCAAATCATTTTGAATGATCCCCCAAAGTGAAAAGATTGGTTGTTGGAAAACAAGCAGGCTAGCAGTAACAATTGATGATCCACAGAAAATTTATTGGGATTTTTTTTACTGTTTTTACAGGTAATTAAATTAATAACTTTGGAGAAAGAGAGTTTAAATGCATTAAGAAAGTTAGTCAATAGAAACTGGAATTATATCAGCAATACTTTTTAACACAAACACATTTTAAGTAAGTTTGTAGAAAAGTTGCATATGAGTGTAATAAACGTATTAGTTTTAAATTCAATTAACTGAATAGAATCAGTACAATTATCTTAATTTACCCAAGTTACATCAACAATAAATACTCAAATATCTTTCATGCTTAAATTTTAGTTAACAAACTTAAACGGTTTAAGATCGGCTTCATTAAACAGTTTGAGTTACAGTATAAATGTCTCTTTTGTCAAACTGTGGTTGTCTTTCCAACATAGATTAGCCTAGCAAAGCATCTCTAAGTACAGGAAAGGAGGAAGTTGACTGAGGGTTGCTCAACTGTGATTGGAGCACAGAGCAAAAAGGGGCAGGGCTTGTTGTAGTCGTTTCTCTATCAGTGTTTGTTCTTGTAACTTTGACTTTGATCATTTCTGCTCTTTTGTTCTGATGATTCTGAACGTGAGAACACAAACAGACTTTTATTGCAGGAAGTGTTGAATTATCTCCTGACGTCAGATATTTATTCTTCAGCTTCCAGTCTGATTGTTTCTGTGTGAGTCGGGTTGAGTCGAGGGAACGCTCTGTGGAAATTAAAGGTCATAAAGTGAACCGAACAGACCGTCTCGCAGGACTAAAACAATGACGAGGGCGAGCAGAAAGGCCAGCAGAGAGCTCGGTCCTGCTCCTGCCCGCTTCTGGTCCGCCCTGATCCGTTTGGACATTTCAACCTCCGAAGGGCCGGATGTGCACCGAGGCAACAGAGTAAAAAAAACAAACCCCGCAGACGTAAACGAGGCCGGACTGAAGCTAAACTTAGCAAATGAAAAACCGGGATCCGAAGAGTTGAATTAGAGAGCGGCCCCGCAGCGCTGCAGCTCTCTCCTCCGTCTGATTTAATTCAGTGAGTCAGCTGCACCCTGATGAATTCATAAAAGCAGCCGCCGCTCGCAGGCGACTCAGGGTCGGAGAGGATTCGTAAGGTCAAAACCGAGGACCAGAGGGAGGACTGGGAGGAGGAGGAGGAGGAGGGAGGAGGGAGGGACGATGCTCAGACAGTAGAGACAGAGAAAAGACAACAGAAACACAACATCCAGCTCAGAGACTCCTGCTGGGCTCCATCGCTCTGTTCTCTACGTCTGTATTCACCTCTCTCTCTCTGCCGGTTTCTCTACCTCTCTCTATCATCTCTCCATCCAATTTCAAACAGCGCCGGCTGGCAGAGCGAGACGCTTCGTGCTGCCAAAATGTTTGCAAGAAAAACAGCAAGTGAATATTGTGACGGATTCATTCAGAAAACAAACAAACCAGTGACACAGTATTAGTTCACACTGAGCTGCAGCCCGGGACAGATTACAGATCTTTAAAGTCTTTTATTTTTATGTATTAATAATTTTTTATTGTCAATAAGTGAACAGCAGTGACTTCCTCTGCTGCCTGTGGAC